TTGCATATGAGTAGTTGGTGGTCTGTTCCACAGTCAGCTCCTGGCCTAGTTTTCACAGCTGATATTGAGCTTCTCCAGCGGTTCTTTCCACATATATAATCAATCTGATTCCTATGCATACCATCAGGTGAAATCCAGGTATATAGCCTGTGTTTTGCTCTAGTGAATAGAAAACTGGGACTTTTAGAAATACTGGATGGTACAAATTGCCTACAAGCTTGGCAGCTTATGGTCCCCCAGAGGTGCTTTGGCAAAAGATCTGGTGATCTACATTGAAAAAATTACTCCTTGAGAACCATGATGCTCATTTCTGTTCTGACATACATGGAGCCACCAGGAGTTGATGGCCACTGAGTTTTGGGCAATAATCTTGTCTATGGTCCACTGATGACAGCACAGAATAGGGGACAGTGCAGGTCCATTGTCCATAAGATCGCTGTGCTGTGTCATCAACTTAACAACCCCCAACGGCAGCCACAGCTCCACTGCTTTCTTCTTCTTCGCCCTTTCCTCTACTCCACAAGCCAGAATTCATCCAGGATGAATTCTCTCCCTCTTCCTCATTGCCATGGAGCCAGAAATGACTCACAGTAGGTTCTCCATAACTGTAAACCACAAGGGAGAAGATTGCTCATCTTTTCCCCTTGGGAGAGTTGGTGGATTCAAACAGCCTTTGTTTCAGTTAGAAGTGCGACTAGGCCACCAGAGTTCCCTCGGGATTAAATAGATAATCCTTATTTTGGTTATAACTGTTGCTGTTGTTGTTGTTATGAGCCATCAAGTCACTTGCAACTCATAGCGACCCTCTGTACAACAGCTCTAAACTCTGCTCTGTCCTGTGCCAATCTCACTGTCTCCAACACATTCATCCCGATAGCCCCAGTCACCGAATCAATCCACCTCCCAGAGGGCTTTCCCCTCCTGCGCCTGCCCTCCACCCTCCCAAGCGTGAAGTCCTTCTCCAAGGACCAGTCCCTCCATACAACATGACCAAAGTATGTCCGACGAAGTTTCAGAATCCTTGCCTCCAAGGAGCAGCCCAGTTTAACCCTCTCCAGGATGAATCTGTTTCTTTTCTTAGCAGTCCATGGTACCCTCAGCACTTTTCTCCAACACCAAAGCTCAAAAGCATCAATTTTCCTTCTATCCTCCCTGGTCATTGTCCAGCTCTCTGACGCATAACAAGTGATAGCAAAGACCATAGCCTGTACCAGATGCAACTTAGTCTCCAGATACACACTGTTGCTCTTCAGTTACTTTAGAGAGGTCCTTAACTGCAGACTTTCCCATCGCAATATGTCTTTTAATTTCCTGGCTGCTGGTGCCAAGAGTGTTGATTGTGGAGCCAAGCAGACTACAGCTGTGAATAATCTCAATCTCTTCACCATCCATCCTGATGCTGCCAGTTGGTCCAGTGGTGAGAATCTTTGTCTTCTTGACATTGAGACTCAATCCATATTGAAGGCTGCAGTCCCTGACCCTCAGTTTCAGCAAGCAGGGTTGTGTCATCTGCATAACGCAGATTGTTGATAGATCTTCCACCAATCCTGATGCCGCATTTCTCCTCATAGAGCCCAGACTCCTGGATGATCTGTTCTGCATACAGTAGGTTGAAAAGGTATGGAGACAGGACACATCCCTGGCATATGCCCTTCCCAATTTTGAACCATGCAGTGTTTCCTTGATCTGTTCTGAAGACTGCTTCTTGGTTCAAGTATAAGTTTCACATTAGCATGATCAAGTGTTCTGGGATTCCCATTCTTCTCAGAGTTAGCCACAGTTTGTTATGGTCCACACAGTCAAACACCTTTGCATAATCAATGAAGCACAGATAGACTGTAACTGTTAAAGACGTTAAATCATTAAATACACACACACTCTCATACTGGGACCCTTGATGGAAAAGATTGGCAGTTTTAATTTAATAGAAAAATAATAACACCAAAAAAAACCCACAGTCTTGCGGATGTTTGCTAAGCCCTCCTTTCCATCCACCCAAAGCTAACCTGAGTCCAGGCAGCGAGATCAGGAAATGGAGCTCGTGGTATTTCCTAAGCTAAATTCACTCTTAAAGGAGCTATATTCCAGGCAAAACATCCAGCACTCCTGCTCCCACCTCACTCCCAGGCCTGTCTGCTACCACAGCCCTCCCTGGATTCCTAAAACATAAGTGTATCCTTGTGAAATTGCTTCTTCCTAAAGATTTTCTGTCCCATCCCTTCCAACCCTCCTCCACATTTGGGGGCCCAGGCCCCTGGCCCCTACCCACTTCAGGACCAACAGGTAGAGGCCTCCTGGTACTAACCTTCATCTGGTATATGCAAAAGGGAGGGGTGGCTGAGAGCTGTGAGTTGGTATTCTGACCAAGCCATCTGACATTTCTCCACCAGCATTTAATCAAATATCCTTCAATCTAGGGGAAGAGTTCTCTTTATATTTCTGGACATTTTCTTGGATTTTCTAAAGAAACCCTGACTGCTCCTCAAAAATCCACATAGATTACACTCTACCTACTTTTCTTTATGTGTGTTTTTTGGTTTTGGTTTTTTGGGTTTGTTTTTTTTTTACTTCTTGCTGACTCCTAGCCTCTCCCCCCTTAGTGCTGAGTGAGGCTACAAAATGCCTCAAGCCAGAACTCTCTGTCCATTTATTTCTCCATCAGTGGGTGTGATGGAGTACATTGTATTCCAAGAAAGACTTGGTTGAGAATCAGTCACCTTTTTTATATGAGGGGGGGTGGGGGGAATAGCGAGGAGATCAGAAGAGAGAGACAAGGACCTTCTTCTAAACCAAAGAGAAGGCCTTCCCATATTTCTAGCCTCTTAAATGGTGAGAAAATCCTTTTCCGCTAAAGCCACCTCATTATGGTATTTCTGTTCTAGTTGTACCAGATAACTAAGGCAGTGGGTGTGGTATTGAACTAGCCCCACCTTGCACTAGTCATAGATGCAATCTATCCTCAGTGGAAGATTGTGGGTGAAGAAAAGCTTCTGACAGAAAGCAGAGAGGCTGGTGAGGGAGGTGGCAGTGCTGACAGCCCCACCGCACAGCTCAAAAGTTCTCACTTGCTTTGCTGCTTCCTCAGGACTCAGCCATGATGAGGAGAGGCTTCCAGGTGGCAGCAAGACTTGGCCACCACAGAGCCTTCCTCAGAGCCCCCCGCCTTTTGCCCAGATTAAACCCTGCCTCAGCTTTTGGATCCACCACAGACACCCTGGTGAGTAAGTTCCCCGCTTGGTCAGAGCAGACAGGCAGGGTTTCTCCTGGGAGCCGATGGTTGAAGGAACACCTCTAGGTTCTTCTCCACTCATGGTGAGGTGGGTGGGCAGTATGTTGGGGAACCACATAATGTAGCAAAAAAGACTCCTCTGTAGCCTAGATCCAAGATTAAAAGCATCAGGATACTTTTTTGTCCCAGTCTGAGTCTTGTGTGACCACCAAAGAGTCACTTTCACCCCCTGGGACTTTGACTACTACAAAATTTGACTACCACAGAAATGAGTTGGGGCATCCTTAGACCGAGACCGCCATGGTCAAAATCCATGGCCTCGCTCCTGGCTGTGGTGTTAGCAGCTGACCTGTTGTTCACAGCCCACATGTGACTGGTACTTGAGCAGTTGGTGGTATGGAGGCTCCTTTCATTCAAGAGCAGCCCATGCTTCCTGCACCCCGCCCCAGCGCCACAACTCTGTGAGGGTCTGGACATGTTCAGAGGAGCTGCCCTGCTAAGGCAGGCCTGCAGCTGTGGACAGAGCCAGGGGACTCCCTGAGACGAGGGGGCTACAATAGGGACCTTCAGAACGGTGATCCATTCCATGGGACAGAAAGCCTCTGGATGGACTGCTGTCTGATCCTCACACAAGCTTGGCAAGCTAAGCCTTTATTTCCTCATCTGTAAAAACCAAACCCTTTCCAATAAGTCAGTGCTAACTCATAGTGACCCCATAAGACAGAGAGGAACTGTGCCATAGGGTCTCCAAGGCTGAAATCTTTACAAGAGCAAAAACGGCCTCACCTTTCTGTTGCAGAGCACCTGGTGAGTTTGAACCACCAACTTTTCTATTAGCAGCTGAGCACTTAACCATCATGCCACAACGGCTCCTTCCCATCTGTATTGTGGGAGTAATAGCAACAGTTCTCAGCCTCAAAGAGCTTCGACCACCACCAGTTGCCACTGGGTTGATTCCAACTCATGGCAAACTCATTAGTGTCACAGGAGAACTGTGCTCCACTGGGTTCTCAGTGGCTGATTTTGGGGAGTAGATCACCACCAGGCCTTTCTTCTGAGGTGTCTTTGGGTGGATGCTAACTGGCAATCTTCCCATTAGCAGCCTACTTTCGCACCAGCCAGAGATTTCAACAGATTTCTCTAATAGGTTAGTTGGACTCCTTAGCCCCATTTTCTTCCCTTTCTTTCTTTTGTGCTAAGTCATTCATGGGGGACCCCAACCCTCTGCAAGGGAAATTGGCCCTTTCTCTCAAGCTAACACTCTGGGAGGAGGGACTGAAGAGCCTCAGAACCTAGAAACACATTCTGCTTGGAGGGTCCTACAGCATACCCTCCTCCCAGAAAGCTGTCTAGTCCACTTGTTTTTCCTGACCAGGTCGCAAGGTTCTGTCAGGAGAAGAAAGATGTGAAGGATTTTGCCCTCCCCAATGCTAGCTGGTGCCCAGACATGCTGAGCACGTACCAAGAATTTCTGGAGAAGACCAAGGCCAGCACCTGGATCAAGCTGCCCTCCTTCAAGTCCAACAGAGATCACATCCAGGGATTCAAGCTTCCATTAGGGTTAACGGTCACCTCAGGTAAGGTCTGGTCTGAGAGAACGCATACACACACACACACACACACACACACACACACACACACACGTCAGCCCCCAGGTCAGCCAGCTCCCCTTCCTTTAGCAGAGACAGCCAAGGAAAATCTCAAATTCCCTTCCAGCCCCTCAGATTACCTGTTCTTCCTTCTAACTCCACCTTTCATGCTAAACACATAGCATGTGTTTTTTGTTTCTCTACTCAGAGATGCATCACAGAGGGCCCTGCCTTTGTTCCCAGGCTTGTGGCTCTAAAAAAGAAAAATGCCAACTCAGCTCCCTGCCTTGATGCTGTCTTACCAGTTTTTCTCCCTCTACTTTCAAACCTCGTCTTAACACCTCATTTCTAAGCCCATAAAAGCCTTTGGTACTCCTTGACCCATGAAGATTTCTTGCCCCAAGCTCTGCCAGACTCAGAGCAGCACGGGTTAGAGTGACTGGGCCGGGGTTTCCACCATCCCCTCCCCTGGAGTGCCCGTGCGCATTTGTGCCCGTGCACGTTTGTGCTTATATGCATGTGCTTGTCCGTGTTGCTTGTCTCTCATCTATGTATGCATTTTTCCTGCCCACTTATGGCAGATTCTCTAAAAACTTAAAGTAGGAGCTGGCACTAAAATAATTCTTTTTCATCTGCTGGTATTTCAAAAAAAGATTGATGTCATTACTAACTGTGGGGGGTTAAAACTACTTATTTGGGTGGGCTTTTCTGCACTTATGTTGCACTTATGCAGTTTGTTGTTGTATACCATCGAGTCGGAACCGACACATAGCTGACCCTAAATTTTCAGAGGCAATTAATCTTACAAAAGGAGATTGCCCGTCCTTCTGCACAGCAGCTGATAGATTCAAACCATGTACCTTTGGGATTGCAGTGTAGCTTCTTGCCTCTAGACTACCTTTCATTTTTTAATTATATGTGAACTATATTAATAACATTTTAAACATTCAATGCTTACAGCCAATGTAAGCTGACTTGATCCTTCATCCTATATCTACCTTCAACCAGGGACCTTCTTAAGTATTCCTCCCCAAGACTGAGGGCTGTTACACAGACAAAAACCAGTTATCAACTAATTTGTGCTCCTTGACTTTGTATCTAAGGCAGGGCTCAGCCTGTGGTGTTGAATGACCAGCCCTACATCCTGATGGGACCCATATACCCCCACCCCTACTCCCCACACTATTTCCTCTCCAGCTTCAACACTGCCCATTTCTCCCCAGACAAAAACGATTGGCGCAACTTCACCAGGTGCATCCAAGTGGAAGGCCAAGGATATGAGTATGTCATCTTTTTCCACCCAGCTGAGAAGAAGGCCATCTGTCTTTTTCAACCAGGCCCTTACTTGGAAGGACCCCCAGGGTAAGGTCATAGGCAGGGGCTAGGTGGGTATCTTTGGTGGCCTTCTGATGTTGCTCAGAAGGGTGAGTAGGCTCTCTTCAAGCCCTGGAAGCTGGGCCCCTCTCCGGAGAGCCAGGCAGCGAGTAGATGTCAGAAACCCCTCCCTGGATGGAGTAAACTGATAAGTTCTACAAGTAGCTGAAAGGTTGATGGTTTGAAACCACCCAGGGGTGCCTCAAGAAACAGATAAAGGAAAGAAAGAAAGAAAGAAAGAGAGAGAGAGAGAGAGAGAGAGA